TGAGTTTGTGACCCTGCGTTTCACGCTTTTGCGATCGTCAGACAAACTGATTAATTTTTTACAAATTTGGGTTTATGTAGATTGCGTGTATTGGTGCTATTATGGAAGGGGGGGGAATCGTCGTCGTGATGTCATCGTGCTAACGCAAACATAGATGCATGTCCGTACATCACATGTTAGCTCTGTCTCTGATATTGAGCGCTTTCTAATAAGTACCGCGCATATAATATATAAATAATTATATATATATATATATATATTTATATATTTATATTTTTACACACACACACACACACACACACACACACACGCATATATATATATATATATATATATATATATATATATATATATATATATATATATATCATGAACACTTACGTTAGGTGGGGTGACAGTACACCCGAAGAAGACAATGCGACATATACCTCCCACGACTACTGAGCTACAACTGTGCCCCAACTTGTGCCATACACCTTCACTGGGTCAGGAGAGTAGAGAAAGAGAGAAAAAGATAGAATTTTCCAAATAGTAATTACGATTACTTTAAATATTTGGTGGCGTAACAAAACAACTCATGTGACTACCACAGGGTTAATTTTATATAATCTTCAATTCATGTTCTTAAATAGCCTCCTCAGATTCAGACAACATACAGAAGGCTCTCTAGTACAAGTAACATGTATTATTATCATTATTATTATTAACTTTTAATAAAAATTCAGGATGTAGAATTAGTAAATACCAAACCCTTCGGATACGTTTGTGTGTGGATCATTTATAACAAATTTACGACATGATAAAGAAAATGAACACAGAATAGATTGCCCAACACCGGAAATTGTTACAAATCCATAAAATTAACCTGAAAACTCAAATTATGTTTTTGATAGCCTCGTCAGATCGAGGCTTTCATTTCAATGCCACGCAGAGAGCCAAACACGTTTTAGAAAATTTAAACTTTCAGCTGTATTATTGTGCGACTGGAAACTACCTACACAATAGACTCTTCCAGGCCTATATTAAGTAGTCGACATAGCACTCAAAAGAGTGATAGAGAGTGATATAGTAAGCTCCGCTTACACTATCTCTGTAATCAGTTGTTAAAATATCTTTCTTACATCTAATCCGTGTTCCGTGTTTTACTTCTGTGGTCCCAACTTTGGCCCCACATCATGTATAAAGACATTTTCTTAAATCAATGATTAAAATGGTTTCATTAGGTTTTAGCCAGAACCATCGTTCTTCGAACCTCGCGAACTGACGCTACAGAATCACAAACCATGAATTTACCAGATAACAGAAATCACATCACTTGAAGAATTTTAACAACGGGAGCCACCTAAATTGTTATCACATGCAAACCGAAGAGAAAATAATGACATAATGAAAGAAGCTGACATTCCACACTACATCAAACAAAAGATTAGGAAGGAAACTCCCGTTCAATAGGGATATAAGTTATTGGACCTGAGAAACTTTTTCTGAAAACTTGTTTTAAGAGAAAGGTTTCATAAATTTCACCCAACTGTAATCACTGGCTGCTCGGTGAATAAATGCCGAATGTTTCCTTATAAGAAAACCGCTAATATTACGATTGAACTAATTTCATTGACATGGAAAGGGATTGTGTTAAACAGTAAATATTTTATTGCAAAATAAAAAAAAATACTTTTTAACTTTTGATCGACCAGACTTGCGAGTGTATTTATTCTAAAAGTGTCGAAGTTTGGCGACTAAAAATTAATCTCAAGAAAGGAAGTATGCAACATGGAAGATTTTAAATGCTAATGAATTTTTAAGATTTATTTTAATTTTGAGAGTACTGTAAAAGGTGAATTAGTTCATTTGGGAGAGATTATAAAGCGAAGAAAAGTGTAGTTGACAAAACGGAGAAGGTTAAAAGTTCTGTTGACAGGAAACTGCCAACTAGAAATCCGCAAGGTGTAACCCAAATTTATTCAGATTGAAAGGTCACGTCAGATTGTTTGGAAAAGTTTTGACGAAGACAATGAAACCAAACTGAAAAGTTTAAATTAACATATTCTCAAATTCGTGATTTTTTATTTTTATTTTAATTTTCTTTCTTTTTTTTTTTTTTTTTTTTTTTTTGCGGTAGCGTTAACGACTAATCTTATTTGATTGGTTAATGAAAAGCCTTATATAATTATTGACCAATCAAAGAAGCTTGTATAAGACTCTCTCCCCTTTCTCTCTCTCTCTCTCTCTCACACACACACACACACACACACACACACACACACACACACACACACTAGTTACTCACCCACAAATACAATGAAAAACTCAAACGATATTGTGAGATGGTGTAATGGTTAGCGAGCTTGGCTCACTAGACTACTTACGGCCGAATACTAAGTTCGATAATGACTGGTTGCTCCTCTTTTTTCGCCCTAGTGACCAAGCTTCTGGATTCTGCTTATTCGCAGAATACAGTGGTCAATATTATTTTTTCTGCGGGGTGGACGATTCCCAATAACATATTTATTTTTAGTTTAAAGGTTCTCTTGTACTTTATTTTCGTTATTGGTTTCATCCCCGTCCTCCCTCATTTCATGTTATATATTATTAGCCATTTCTATAAGAAAAAAAGACATTGTATATATTGTTAACTTTTTATGTTGTGGGTGTTTTATTAGGATCCTTGTGAATATGTGGTGTTGTGGTATGGGTTGGATTAAATGGCGATGGATGAATTCTTGTTTGTTGAGTAAGTTTTAATGGATGGTTGGGTCACGAATAAAATTAACTAAGTTTAGAATATTGAGTGACGACCAGCCTCACCAAACTTCTGTTGTTCAATATATAAAGCAATAATTTTAGGCTTACCTTTTGACAAGTAGTGTTCACGCAAAAATTGTAAAGCTCGCCGTCCATTGTCCTTGGCCTCTCTCATTATCAAAGACAAACTCCTGTCATTCAGGAATTGTATTAATTCAGCGAACACGGTTGCATTTTTTTCCATAAAATCATCATCCCCCTTCTGGTCCTCTTCGCAAAGGATGATGTCATGGAGTTTTTGTATTCTGAGGTAGCCTAAGAATTTTGTTTCCCATAATTCATATCTCGATTCATTCCCGTCAAAATATAGTCGTGGTCTGGGCTCATAACCAATGTTGTTCATCATGACGGTCGTCTTCGAGTATAGGTTAGCAGTGAATATTTCGAAGACAGTAGGGAAGCGTTGTTCAGGTTGGCTGGTAAAGTAGCAGAGCGTAGTTCTTCCTTCTGTTCCTCTTCGCCTGAGAATCTGGCACTGGACATTCGGATAGAGTAAACAAAATGGCCGCCTTTATACACGACGGATTGAATATTCTACGTCTTCTGATTGGTTAACCTTCTATTGGTGGACTATAAAGTGAGTCAAGTCATTTGGGCTAGCTCACTAGTAAACATACCCCAAAAAATGCAACAACTTCCCCTTCGGCTTTGTGCCAAAAATTGTATTTACATACAATAAATACACAGATAAAGAATTGACGAAATCGTTTCCAGAATACGATAGGGTGCTGTTACCGCTAGAAAGGCGTTGTGGACCCAGAATAGGTCCGAAAGAAAACTCGAACTTAGCAATTAAGTGAAAACATATTACTAAACAAAAAGAACGAATGCAAAAGTGTTGCACGTCCGACTGACGGCAAAGTACAGTAGTCAACTGTAGAAAGCTCCCTCACAAGAGGCATAATCTCCCCGTATATATAGTAATAGGACGAGTCCATTTAGTCCATAAAGGTAGGTCCCATAACAAAAGGTTAGCTGTGGGTGTCGTGCTACACCGTTTTTCACACTCGTATCTATCTTACGTCTTTATATGTCTATTTTCACAGTCGTATCTATCTTACGTCTTTATTAGTCTATTTTCACACTCGTATCTATCTTACGTCTTTATAAGTCTATTTTTACACTCGTATCTATCTTACGTCTTTATAAGTCTAGCATTTGACCGTGCATTGAATATTGCTGCCACACCTGGTCTAGTGCTTCTGCTATGTATCTAAAGATTCTTCACAATATCCAAAGAAGAATCTGCAAAGTTATTAATCCTGACCTGGCATCTCGACTGCAATCAACTTCTGTTATAACATAGGTTCTTTGTTCATTTTTCTATAAATATTTTCATGGCAATTGTTTTGATAAGCTGTTACTCTTTGGTGCCTCGACCTCAAGAATTTAAATGCGGTGTGCTAGATTAGTAGCGAGGCCCCATCATTTTACTGCTGAAATTGCGAGATGCAACCGTAAGTTCTATGTTGATAGTTTCTTCTCTCGCACTTATGGCTTATGAAACTCTCTTCCTCCTTCTTGCTTTTGTGTCAAATACGAGGTTCAGAAATTTAAACAAGATATCAGTCGCCATGTTTCGCCTCCTTGAATCTTGTTCTTTTATCGTCCTCTCTCCTCAATAAATTTTTTTTTCAGTTTCTTTCATATCGCCTTATGTCTTCTCATTCTCTTTTACTCCCGGGACATGGAACTCTACGCCCACACTGTGCCGATGTCTATGCCCAGCGATTGGAAGAATCTAAACAAACATATGGATCTAGGTACCTGTGTGTACTTCTGACTGAGATAACCATATGACGTTATTTCTATGCTTCTCTATAAACGTCTCATAAGATTTACAGAGAATTGATGATTGTGAAAGATTTTATTTAATAGAAATGCACACTTTGGCTGAAAAAGTTGTTTCCCTGATGGAAGAAAAGGTATACAGGTTCGATTCCTTTCGGAGGGAACATTTTTCTTTAGCTAGACTTCTCAATTTAGTCCATTTGCTACTTTCACTGTTTAATAAAATAAAAAATTTAAAAAAATCACCTATCAACTCAAGCGCGTCTACCCACTAAAAATAACGTTTATTGTAATCTTATGAGAATTCTGTTTGTTCCTTTCTTAGTTAGCGCGACCGTTTTGTCCTACCAATACCTCATAAAAAATGGACTATTCTATTTTGATCGCGTGGAAAGACGAAAAAGACATCATAGTTTCAGCGAAAGAAAGAAAGAAAGAAAGAAAGAAAGAAAGAAAGAAAGAAAGAAAAAAGAAAGAAAGAAAGAAGAAAAGAGAAGAGAAAAGAAGATAGAAGTGTTTAACGTCTCCCGACTATACCTCATAAATAATAAATTAGTTCGTTTTGATCATTTGGAAAGGCATATCAGAGACTCTACTTGGTTTCAGTGAAAGAAAGAAAGGAAGATAAAAGCGTTCCTGCCAATACCTTATAAATCGCGTTTTGATCGCGTGGAAAGGTACATAAGCGACACTACTCGATTTAAGTTAAATAAACAAAGGAAGGAAGGAAGGAAGGAAGGAAGGAAGGAAGGAAGGGAGGGATGAAAAAAGGAAGGAAGGAAGGAAGGAATGACGGAATGACGGAAGGAAGAAAGGCAGGAAGGAAGGAAGGAATGAATGAATGAAGGAAGGAAGGAAGGAAGGAAGGAAGGAAGGAAGGAAGGAATGAAGGAAGGAAGGAAAATGAATGAAGGGAAGGAAGAAGGAAGGATGAAAGGAAGGAAGGAAGGAAGGAAGGAAGGAAAGAAGGAAGGCAGGAAGGAAGGAATGAATGAATGAAAGAAGGAAGGAATAAGGAAGGAAGGAAGGAAGGAAGGAAGGAAGGGATGAAGGAAGGAAGGAAGGAAGAAAAGAAGGAAGGAATGAAGGAAAGAATAACGGAAGGAAGTAATGAAGGAATGAATGAATTACGCGTTTATTGCATTTTTCAGTGAAATGGAAACGGTTGTCAGTTTCAAATCTTTTGTACCGTTTTACTTTTTAAAGTAACGATCAACATTCATATTTATGATTGTTAATGCAATATTTTGTTAAAGTCATTAAGCTAAAATATTTAATGATTCTATGGGGGAATATCTACAGATATTTTATTCTCATAAAATGCGCCATGAGCTTTACTCAATCATTATCTGAAGAATTAAGTGTCATCAGAAAATTCAAATAGGAAAATTGTGAAATTTTCACAGACACTTGAAGCAAGAATTAAGGTCGGATAAAAAATCCTCTAGAAAATTACTATTGTCTTTCATAAATGATTGTTAATTACTTAAATGTAGTTCTTAATTAACTTCCTTGTCTTTTCAAAGATAATGAAATGAAAGAAGAAAAGAAAGAAAAATGAAAAATAATCAGTTACGTAATAGAATTCTAATGGAGTAAATCGGCGTTATTCCGAGATATTTACATAATATTTCTTTTTTGAGCGTAGAGTTATATCCGTTGATAAAATAATGACGTATACTTGAGTCATATCCGTTGAAAAAATAATGTCATATACTTGAGTCATATCTGTTGATAAAATAATGTCATATACTTGAGTCATATCCGTTGAGAAAATAATGTCATGTAGTTGAGTCATATCCGTTGAGAAAATAATGTCATGTAGTTGAGTCATATCCGTTGAGAAAATAATGTCATGTACTTGAGTCATATCCGTTGAAAAAATAATGTCATGTCCGATGAAAAAATAATGCCATGTCCATTGAGTCGTGTCAACAAGCCTTCAATAAGTTCTGAGGATACATATGCGTTCAAGTAAAAAGCAACTTCGGATGATGGCATTGTACACTTTAGGTGTATTTTTTTCTTTACACTTCCTGAAATAAAAAAATTGAACACTACATAAAAATATTTCAAGTCACGTTTTATTTTCTGCGTCGATCGGAAAAACCTGATTTGAAAGTACGAATCGCTGAAGAATGAGAAAACAGTGGTTGTGAGGAGAGAAAGGTTGGTCAATTCATGTGTATATGTCTGGAAAATTTCGGCTGTCAATTGACATGACAGATTTGCCTTCTCAACTGTCTTTTATCAATTCACCATCTTTTGTGTGCTGTCTGTTATTGACCAAGATTTATAATCGGCAGGCCAAACGGTAGCAACATACACCGAAGAACATAACACCGTGTTGACAATATACTGAGACGGAAAACCAGAAGCACTTTCGAAAAAGGTTATCGACGAAAACAAAAAAAAGGGGGATTAGCTATTAATTTCTCTCTAATTTTCCGTGATCAGGTGTTATGATTATTTACACGCGAACTATCGTTCTTACAAAGTGGTACATTTGCTAACAAACTGTTCCTTCCCACATCCATTTTAAAATATATATGACCGTTCCTTGTCATGGTAGAGGGCTTACTTGCCCCGGTGTTCCCAAGAGCTATCCCGACTGGAGTTCCAACTCCTGGAGAGCCACCTATGACGGTAAGGTCGAAAAGGAAAGACCAGAATGAACAGGACCAACCCCCGAAAAACTCAACCGTAGAATAGGCAAAGATCTACACGACGGAGGTGGTAAGCGCCAGTCACGCTGACATAAACAAGGTGGAACGTGACAGACCAATCATACGACAGCACGATGTAACCAGGTTTGCCAGATCACACCTGTCTCAATTCCCTTTGAGTCGCCAGGGAGTGTGACGTCGTCTCCCGGTCGCAGCGGCGACTGTGACGTTCTATCCTGATCTACCACGGCACCAGTTGTGACGTCCCCAAACAGCACCAATTGTGACGTCCTCGCCGCGGCGCCAGCTGTTCGCTGCTCGCTGCTCCGTTCGGGTGTCGCTGCTCCAAACGTGACGTCCGCCTGTCGCGTCAGTCGTGTTGTCTCGTCCTGTGACGACCAACTGGCTTGGTATCGGTCGCGGCACCTAAATGTGACGTTCTAACCTTTTGGTGATTCCGATGGGAATCTGGTTAGATTTAATATCAGCCTCGTCGTTCCCAACCCGCTTCCAACGCCTGGTTACCAAGGCAACTGCATTGATCTCCAGTCTGCCTACCCACGTTGTGAATTGATCTTAGACAGACGAGATCAAACACTGGTTGGGGCCGTAATGCAAACTGAGTTCAACGGGGGTGATACTACACAAATATGCATAAAAGAAAATAAAATGAAAACTCAAAAAGTTCAAAGTATCAAAGAAAAAGGTAACAAACTTTATGTCTAGTTGTTCGATACATAGGACTGCATCTATCTCCCGACCCATGGATTGTGACACGTCGTTTTCCGCTAGGCAAGTTTTTAACGCTTCAAGTTGTTTGATCTCTAAGAAATTGGCGTTTCGGTGTGTCTTTGGACGAAAGTCGAAAAAAAAACTTATTTCGGTGGTCTGGTTCTGAGTCTCTCTTCAAAATAATTATTCTTGGGTTGAAGAGGAGTCCGGAATTTTGCGTGAATCTTGGTCAGCTATCTGCGAGGCGGTTTCAACTGGAGACCGACTCTGGGAACTCAACTCTGGAAACTCGAGCCCGAACTCTCTGATTTCTGCCTGTTGGGGCCTCACTTTTATTGACGCCGACCAAAACCGGGGTGGGTCTGTCGGCGTCGGGGGGTTCTCGATAATTCTAAATACATATCCACCTCTTTTATTTCTGGTTAAGGGATTTTCAACTCTTTTCCATTTTTGGGAACCTTTCCTCACTTCCACTTTCTCACCATACTTCTGAGGGGCGTGAACTTCCCTCCCCACTTCCTCGTAGCAGCTTCTCATACTTATACTCTGGATGAGGCGTCGACAGCCTCCTTCGTGCGTCACGTGATCACCACTTGACCAATGATGTCTTAGTCGGGCGTGAACGAATCCGCGGCTTTGTTTCGGGAAAAAAAATATCTTGCTTAACTAAAAAAAATTATCTCTTCTCTTTCCCTTTTCTTCCGCTTTAATCTCCGTTATCATTTTTCTATCCGCAAACTGACAATATGACAACTCTTGTTCCACACGTGGTTTTTGTCAGGTATTTTATCGCTAATTATCAAAATGGGTGGTCTTCTTAACACGGCCTCAAAAAAGAAATATCTCTAAAATTTCAGTCAATCTGTCGCGTCCAAGGAAGAAGAAAAAACACTTCTGAGTCCCCATTCATTTTCCTTCGGCACATATTTCTGATAACATAATTTTATTATCGCAGGCCAAAGTTGTTTCGTCGAAAAAAAATTCGGTCAGCGGACACGGCTTGTGTGGTTTTTAATTTTTCATATCTACCCAAAGTCCTGTGAAAACACCTGTGTTTTGTCACTTATCAAAATTAACGTTTTCAATTGAATTTTTCGTTGGCCAGTCGAGCAGCCGTTTTGTTTACGTACTCCTAGATAACACAGCCGTTATCAAAACACATCTGTTTCTTTCTTTCTTTCCCTTTCTTCTTACCCAGAATTTCCCTGTCATTGTAATGACACCCTTTCGCCATGGTTACTTATCAATATATTTATTGTCTCTTAGCCGTGTGTGTGTTCTGCTGATCAACCACGATTCGTCTCGCCTTTCTTTCTGCCTTCTTTTCTTTCTTTTCCTTTCTCTGCCTCGTAAATGGTGCCACAAAGGCTTTTCTGGCAAAGTGTGTTGGCTTCTCCGTCGCGCAGTGTTGTCCACAAAAATCAAATTCACGTGAATGGCATCGTCAAACTGCCGTCTCCGTCACCGCCACCAGAGGGGAGGAATGGAATTGGGAGAGAAGATGACGATCCCGATACCCGGATTCGAGTGGGTGCCGACGACACATAGACATTGTCCTCGTTTGTGTTTTTATCACAACGTTTTGGTCGTTGTGTCCCCGGACGTTCATCAGGCGTGTGTCAATCTGTGTAACCTACAGGGAATTTCAAACTGAACCCTTTATTTAATCTACGGTAGTATAATGTTCTCGTTCCACTGCTAAGGCTCGGGATATCCAGTTTTAATGTTAGTGTTGCTCAGTAATTTTCTCGCCGTTTTCCACAGAATTGAAATACACACTAGCCCTAGTGAATTAAAGCGTTCGTCTGGAAAATTGGTAACGTAATAACTGGGAGTTCAATCCCTGGGCTGGTCAGTGTGTACTTGGATCAATAATTGATCAGTAATAAATAAATAAAAATTAGATGAGATATCCGTATTGATGGGCAATGGAACGAGAACAATCTTCCCGCGCAAATTAAATAAATGCTTCAGTTTGAAGTCACGGTGGAAGAATGGAAAGCGGTCCGGATTGAGGAATCGGAGGGCTCAGTTCATTACATTCGCTTACGTGTTAATACCATTGATAAAAGTATTAATCCATCTGCCCCCAAACACCACCACACTCCAGCTACGGTTCCTATAGCCTTCGGTGGCAACCGATCTAGAAGTAAAATCTCTGAATGTAAAACCAGTCTGGAGAGAGTCAGGCTCTTTCGCCCAAGAAACACCATTACTACTCCGGCAGTAAATGTGGTGCCCCTACGAACCTAATGGGTTACAGGTCTCGTGATCGTGATCAGTTCGAAATTTCCTGCAGTTTACACGGATCAATATACGAGTCACGAAGGCCAGAGAGCACAACGACCTAAACGTTGTGATATATAGATGTTACGGCTATTAGTGTTGGATTGATTATTTCACCTAAAAGTTGCTGAATTTCCTTCGTTGCTGAAATAAATAGACAGAGAAAAGACGGAATGATACGGAGACAATAAAGGAACTGTTTAGGACTGATTTTATTTCTTTCTTTTGGATTCCAACGACCTCTTGTTGGGGAATTTTCTCCCAAACAGTTGGCACGTATTCAACAGTCAAAGGTCCAACAGAGAAAAGATCAAGCGTGTCCTCTTTTAAGCGTCTGCTCTTTTTAAGCGTCTGCTCTTTTTATTTTTTATTTTTGCACATGCGTAATTTGTCTTTCCTGTCAGAGGACTCTTGGGAGATTTTAATGTTTATTTTATTTTTGTACTTTTATTTAATTTTGTATTTTTATTTTATCTTGTATTTTTATTTTATTCCC